AAGAAATGCTAAATAATAGAATAAAACTAATAATGAGATGAGAAATACCAAACGGAAACAAAAAATAACTGAGAAAATTGTACAACAAACAGAAGACTTTCTGAAGTGTAATTATTATACCTAAAATGAAAGAGAGGCTATTTCGTTAATGAAAAGGGAACAGATGTTGATAAATCAGAAATATGTAAAATGAAAATATGATTACCTAAATAAAACCAGTGTCATTGAATCCATTCTTACTCATATCAATTCTGTAGGACAAAGCTAAAACAACCCTTTAGCGTTTCTACAATTGTAAATTTTTATGGAAGCATACGGTTTCATCTTTTTCATGTAGAACAGCTCGTGGGTTTGAATCACCAACCTTGCAGTTAGTAGCACAACATTTTACCCACTGCAATACCAGGGCTTCTTGCTTAAGGTTATTTTGATAATAACAAACCTGAGTAGCTGGACCTCATTCAAAATTGTCAAAATTTAAGCAAGGATTAGTGAGTGGGAAGATTAAGCCAAACAATTTACAAGAATAACAAAACCCAAAGTAATCATCACCTTCCAGTAAATTCTGACCTGTGAACAACCCTGTAAGGCAGCAGAACTGCCCCAGATGGTTTCTACGGCTGTAAATCTATATGGATGCAGACTGCCTCATCTTTCTCCAGTGCACAGCTGGTGAGTTCAAACCACTGACCTTCTTTTGGTTAATAGTAGCTCGCTACTCTGCCACCAGGGCTCCTTTTGTAAAATCAAATAAAAATCCACTGACGTCAAGATGATTCTTACTCATAGTGATCCTATATAGGGTTTCTGAAACTGAAAATGTTTGCCAAAGCAAACAGCCTCATCTTTCCCCTCTTGGGAGTGTCTGGTGAATTTGAACTGCCAACTGGGCAGTTAGCAGCCCAAGGCCTAGGCCACAGATTCAGCAAAGTACCTTTTTATAAAGATAGAACCCTCAAAAATAATTTTAAAAATATTGTGAGAGGGTGTAATTGAGAATCATGAACAGGAGATCCAGAAGTGTCTAATTTCCTCTGATAGGACTTCTAGGATGGAAGGAAATAGTTTTTAAAAATATGTTAGAAATTTCCTAGAACTGATGCAAACCATGTTGCTTTTAAGCACTAATTTGTAATGAACAAAATGACTTACAAATATTAAAAATGTGGTTACATTTCAAGATGCCAACATACAAAGAAAAAATTCCTAAAAGAAGTTTCTAGAAGCAAAAATAGATTTTCTCAACGGAAAAAAATCTGTATTGGCATTAGATTTTCATCTGCCACAGTTGATGCATGAACACAGTGTGGGGGTATTTTCCAAGTTCTGAGGTGAAATAATTTCAAACTTTAACTTACTCTAAGGCTGGTAAGTTGGTTAAGCAAATTAGAAATATTATCAGTCATGTAAAAATTTAAACTGCAGCAGGGTCTCAGGAATGTCTTACTACCACAAAATGTTTTATATCATAGATAGCCAGAGGCTTTCTCTTTTCATTTTCCATCTCTGCTTATAGATTTCATTTCTCTCTTTCAGATTATATTAAAATATGATAACTCTCAGTAGGCCTCAAGTTTCTTTCACATCATTTAAACTCCAGCCAAAGGCAGATTAACTTTTGTTTTTCCTTTTAAATGGTAGTAAAATATACGTAATGTAATATTTGCCATTTAAACTATATACTCCAATGGGATTTATCACAATCACAGTATTCTTTAATCATTACCACTGTATCTAATCGCACTTATTAACATGATTATCAGTTAGGCTCCCAACACCAGGTCATTATGTGAAAATCATTATCGTGTGAAAATGGAGATGGCCACTTGAGATCACAATAAAAGGAGGTTGGTCATACTATTGCATAACTGCCAAATTACAAAACGGTTTTACAACAAATTACTGAGCCAGTCAAGTTGATCCATAACCTTAGCCATTACAACTAGACCTATTCTCACCTCACACTTCATCATTCATAACTGACAAATATATGCTCTTAATGTGCAAATATCTGCTCTTGACATTTTAAAAACAATTGTTATAAATGCAAAATATTAGCTAATGAGACTGTCAATAAGTAGGGAGTAGAGTATTTTCTTCTAAAATGTTTTTATCATATCCCTCCCCCCTTACCCAACACACACACACTAGATAGAAACTCTGTGCCTATTGGACAATATTTACCTGTTTCACAAACCATCCTGAATGCTAATCTACTCTTTGTCTTTATATATATGTCTACTGAAATATTAAGATACCTAAAAATCTACAGATAATGTTCCATAGGAACTATTAATTTACAGCAGTTAATCTGTGAAGAGATTGTGTACTTTAGCTTATCACTAATTCTTTCTTTTTCTTTTTAGTCAGTAACTCAGATGCTTATTGCTTATCTGGCACGCCTTTCAACTATTGCTGGGAACAAGATCAACTGTGGACCTGCCCTTACGTGGATGGAGGTATTACCTAGTTCACGGTTATTACAGTTTGTTTTAAATGTATCGACTCAGGCAATTTAATTTGGAATTTACCATGTATACTCAAGTATTATTCGACCTGAATATCAACCGAGGCACCAAATTTTACCACAACAACTGCATTAAAAATGTGCTGAAAAACTGGCCTTATACACGAGTATATATGGTAATATAAAAGGCAATTGCAATAGCTATTGAATTTCTATCACTTGTGGGCCAGTTTGTTGTACTGTGGTGGTTTGTATGGTGTTGTGATGCTGGAATCTGTGTCACTGGTGTTTGAAATAATCAAATAACAGTAGGGTCACCCTACGTGAACAGGTTTCGACAGAACTTCCAGACTGAGAACAGATTATGAAGAAGGAATAGGCTGTCTGCTCAGAGGACTATGTAGGCCACTGAAAATATTTTACAGCAGAACATTTTCAGAGGTAGTGCCAGAAGATGAACCCTCCAGGTTGGAAGGAACACAAAGTAAAGTCAGCTGTAACGAGGTAGATAAAAGAAAGACTTTGGGACCATAATTTGCTCATGGGGCATGGCTCAAAATGAGAAGAAAGAGATGCAAAAATTTATGAAAATTTGGAAGTTGAAATTGATGAAGCATGAGTCTAGAAAAATTGGAACTCATCAAAAATGAAATGAAACATATAAATTGATATCCTGGGCAAACAGTAAGCTAAATCGGACTGGTATTGGCCATTTTGAACCAGAAAATCATATGATTTACTATACTGGGAATGACGGATTTGAGAATTATTCAAATTTATGTACTAAGCACTAAAGCTGGTGATGAATAAATTGAAGAATTCTACCACCATCTTCAGTTTAAAAATGATCAAACATGCATAAAAATGCATTGATAATTATTTGCAATTAGAATGCAAAAGTTAGGAATAAAGAGAAAGGAATAATAGTTAGAAAATTTCACTCAGTGTTAAAAACAAAGCTAGAAATTGAATGATAGAATTGTGCCAGATCAACGACTTCCTCTTCACAAATAAACTGCAAGTATACAGATGGACTTCTCCAGGTGGAATACACAGAAATCAAATTGACTACATTTGTGGGAAGAGACCATGAAGTTGCTCAATATCAGCAGCTAAATTGAGGCCAGGGAACAGATTAGCCTTAAAAAAAACAGGAAAGAAAGAAAAGATCAAAATTGATGTCAAAAGAGACCCTGAAATTTGATCTTAATATTAGAGTAGCTAAGGTAAATAGACGAAATAATAAAAAAGCTGAACAGAAAATTTCAAAGGGCACTCGAGAAGACAAAGTAAAATATTATAATAAATTGTCCAAAAACCGAGAGTTAGAAAGTCAAAACAGAACATGCTCAGGATATCTTAAACTGAAAAAACTGAAAAAATTTGAAGCCTTGATTTGAACATTGATAGCCTGTGGGCAAAAATATTGAACAATGCAGAAAGCATCAAAAGAAGATGGAGTGTGTACACAGTTACTGTACCAAAAAGAACTAGTCAACATTCAACCATTTCAAGAGGTAGCAAATGATCTAGAACCAATGATACTGAAGGAAGAAGTTCATGCTGCACTCAAGGCATTAGCCAAAAACAAGGCTCCATGAATAGGTGGAATAATAATGGAAATGTTCCGGCAAGGTAATGAAGCACTAAGTAGTACTCACCCTTATATGCCAAAAAATACGTAAGATAGCTGCTTGGCCAACTGAGTGGAAGAGATCCATATTTGTATACATTCCAAAGAAAGGCAGCCTAATAGGATGAGCAAATTATAGAATAATAGTATTAGTTTCAGGAGCTCTGGTGGTATAGTGGCTATGGATTGGGCTGTGGTCCGCAAGATCAGGAGTTTGAAACCACCAGTCCCTTCTTGGGGAGTAAAGTGAGGCTTTTCAGTTCTGTAAGGAGTTACAGTCTTGGAAAATTATAAGGACAGTTCTACTCTGACTTAAAAGGCTGTCATGAGTCAGAGTCACCTCAGTGTCTGTGAGTTTGGTTTTTTATTTATCATTAATATCATATGTAAGTAAAATTTTGCTGAAGATCTTCTAACAACAGTTCCAACCATTTATCGGCATTTGGCTGCCAGAAATTCAGGCCAATTTTGAAAAGAGAACACAGAACAAGGGATATCATTGCTGATATCAGTTGAATCTTGACTGAAAACAGAGACTACCAGAAATATGTGTATTTGTGTTTTATGAGTATGCCAAGGCATGTGACTATATGGATCACACAGACTATGTATGGATAGCCTTGAGAAGATTGGGAATTCCAGACACTTCATTGTGCTCATGGGAAATCTGTATGCAAGAGAATACTGCATGTTTTTTTTTCTCCCAACACTTTTATTGGCACATAATTTACATATAATACAATTGAGTAGTTCAGTTGTTCAGTCTTATTAAGGGGATTTATACAATTACCACCACACCTATCTTAGAGCATTCCATTCCATCCACCAACTGCATGGTTTTGAATAAGGTATGCGTCAGGAGTTGTGTTCTCTTACCATACTTATTCTTTCTGTAGGCTGAGCAAATAATCAGAGAAGCTGTATTATATTGAAGAGAATTCAGTGTCAGGATTGGAGGAAGATTTATTAACAATCTGTGATCTGCAGATGACATAACCTTACTCAGTTGCTTGTGAAGTTTAAGAATTTTGGCCTTCTGTGTGAATTACAACTCAATGTAAAGAAAACCAAAATCCTCACAACTGGACCAGTTGTGAGAAAGGAGAAAAGATTGAAGTTCGCAAGGATTTTGTCTTACGTGGATCCACAATCAGTACTCATTATGGAAGCAGCAGTGAAGAGATCAAATGACAAATGCGTGGGATAAATCTGCACAAAACTTCATTAATGTGTTGAAAAGTAAGGATGTTATTTTAAGGTGAAGGTGTGCCTGAACCAAGCCTTGGTATTTTCAATGGTCTCTTATGCATGTGAAAGTTGGTCATTGAATAAGAAGACTGACGAAAATTCGATAAATTTGAATTGTAGTGTTGGTGATGAATATTGAAAGTAGTAGGGACTTCCAAAGGAATAAACAAATCTGTCTTGGAGGAAGTACAGTCAGAATGCTCCTTAGAAGTAAGAATGGCAAGACGTCATCTTATGTTCTTTGGACATGTTATCATGAGAGACCAATCCCTGGAAAAGGACATCATGGTAGATAAAGTAAGGGGCAGACGAAAAGAAGACCTTTGACAAAATGGATCAGCACAGTGGCTACAACATTGGGCTCAAACATAAGAACAACTGTGAGCACAGTGCAAGACCAGGCTATATTTGGTTTTGTTTTACCTCAGGTTGCTGTGACTCAGAACCAACTTAATGACAACTTAATAAATATAACAATTGAATTTCAAGAGCCAGATATTAGTTTAATCTTATCTTCTGGGGTCATATTTTTTGTTGTTTTCAAATCTATCTTTCTTTGATGCACATAAACACAAATTTGAATAACTTTTATGAATCTAAGTTAATACTGGCTTATTTTTGTTTTTATTATATTAAAGTACATATTTAATTAGGTGAAGTATCGAATATATATTTTCAATTGATTTAGTAATTTTCAGTCATTTAGAGACATGACAGTTTCTTTTTTTTAATCATTTTATTGGGGGCTCATACAACTCTTATCACAATCCATACATCCATCCATTGTGTAAAGTGCATTTGTACATTCATTGCCCTCATCATTCTCAAAACATTTGCTCTCCACTTAAGCCCTTGGTATCAGCTCCTCGTTATTTCCCCTCCTTCCCCGTTCCCCCTCCCTCATGAACCCTTGCTAATTTAGAGATTATTATTATTTTGTCATGTCTTACACTGTCCGATGTCTCCCTCCCTTCACCCACTTTTTTGTTGTCCATCCCCCGGGGAGGAGGTTATATGTAGATCTTTATAATCGGTTTCCCCTACCCCACCTTCCTTCCACCCTCCGGTATTGCCACTTTCACCACTGGTCCTGAAGGGATCATCTGTCCTGGATTCCCTGTTTCCGGTTCCTATGTGTACCAGTGTACATCCTCTGGTCTAGCCAGATTTGTAAGGTAGAATTTGGATGATGATAGTAGGGGTTGGGGGGAGAAGGAAGCATTTAAAAATTAGAGGAAAGTTGTATGTTTCATTGGAGTCTAATTAGCAAATTAAACCCAAACCCCAATCCTATAGGAGATTATAATGTTTGAAAACAAATGGTCACATCTTTCTCCACTGAAGTGGCTTGTGGGTTTGGACTGCTGACCTTTCAGTTAGTAGCCAAGTACTTAAGCACTGTATTACTAGGCCATCTTCAATAATTATACCCCAAAACAAAACCCACAAGAATAACTCACTGCTATAAAGTCAATTTCAACTCATAGCCACCCTCTAGGACAGAGTAATGCTGTAAATCTTGACAAAAGTAAACCACCTCATTTTTTTTCTATAGAATGTCTGATGAGTTTGAACCATTGACCTTTCAGTTAGCTTAATGTGGTAGGGATTCTGTCAGTATATATATGGGTATATGTTCTCAATTTCCATATGTAGCATGATACTAATTGTTTATTTTTCTGCCTCCAGTGCAAACATGGAAGGCAGGATGAAAAATAGAATAAGTTTAGAACTTAGAACATGCCAACTTACATCGAAATCTTGACTTTTCCTTAATTGGTTGCTTGATCTTGGAAAAATTATTTAATCTCTTTTACCTTTAATATCTTTACCCATAAATATAGCTGGGGAGATGATAATTACATTCTAGAATTTTGAGAATTATATTGAATAATATATTTAAATGTATATCTCAATGACTGGACTCTATTAAATAATCATTGTTATTTTTCTGTTTATTTGTTGTATTTTAAAGACTGTGGGTCTCTAAAGCAACTTAAAGTTTTAAACTTAAAGTTTAAAGAAACATCAATCCCATGTTGTTAATGTGTCTCATAATGCACTTTCTTTGTACAGATTGATAACAAGGGGAATCACCTTCTAGTTCATGAGGAATCATCCATTAACACACCTGCTGTTGGTGCTGCCCATGTTATCAAGAGGTATACTGCTCGGGCCCCTGATGAACTGACTTTAGAGGTAAATGACCAAAGAGTGCTAGATGCCATCAAGTTCTTGCTTCCTCGACAGCCTCATCTTCAATCATTTCTTAATTTAAAATAAAGTCTAGTCTCCAGGCTTTTCTACTGTTCCATTATCTTCTCAGCCTGGAATGTCCTCCATGTTTGTTTAAGGAGTGTCCTCATTGTTGAAAACTCAGCCTATATGTTCCACTTCTCCTGGGAAGTCGTTCTTAATCTCCCTGATCAAATCCATACCCCACCCCAAACAAACAAACCTGGACTGAATGTCATTCTGAATTGTTCCCTTAACCTATCTCTGACCTATCACTTATTACATTTAATCTTAATTATTCTATTTATTAAGCAATGATTGTCCTAAGAGTAAGATCTGAATCTTGTCTTTGTATGATATCTAATGATACCTTCTGCTTAATTTGTGTTAAAAGATTGAGCAAAAGAACAGATAAAAATGGAAATGATAATTTATTGCTGTCATATGTATATAAAAGGAGAGGAATTAAGTTTCTTCCTCTAAAAATAAATGTTGGCTGACAAGAGACAAAGAAAATGCTGACAGTTACTCAATTTAAGAAAGAACAATCAAATTGTTACTGTATAGAATTTGAACTGTTAAACTAAACTTTGAGGTTCAATACACATCTTCAGAAGTGCCTTTGTTAATAAGTAGGACTTTATGAGGATGGCTTGTTAAGACTTAAAAACATTAAGTTTAAAACAAAGAATAAGCAAAGAAAAGTTTCTAAAGGAAATAGTATAATTCATCTATGTTTTATGATAGATAGGAGCACTTACTTGGATTGAAGAATGTAACTTCAATTAATGTGTGATTTCAAACTACTATTGTAATTCTTATATAACTTTGTACAAGTTCATATAAACTTAATAGATTGCCTTTAACAATAAAGGAAAGCAAACTGGGTCAAAATGAACGGTACCATCAATTGATAAAACAAGTATAAAACTTTTTTTTTCTAATCATTTTATTAGGGGCTCATACAACTCTTATCACAATCCATACACACATCAATTATGTAAAACACATTTGTACATTAATTGCCCTCATCATTCTCAAAACATTTCCTCTCCACTTAAGCCCCTGGCATTAGGTCCTCATTTTTCCCCTCCCTCCCCGCCCCCCCATGAGTCCTTGATAATTTATAAATTATTATTTTGTCATATCTTGCCCTGTCCGATATCTCCCTTCACCCACTTTTCTGTTGTCCGTCCCCCAGGGAGGAGGTCACATATAGTTCCTTGTAATCGGTACTCTCCTTCCAACCCACTCTCCCTCTACCCTCCCAGTATCGCCACTCACACCACTGGTCCTGTAGGGATAAAACTTTTTACAGTTGAATTTATTACAGTTCATTAGTGATGCTGTAGGACATAGTAGAACTACGTCATGAGGTTTTAAGGCCTGTAAATCTATGAAAGCAAACTTCTGTCACATTTTCTCCTGTGCAGCAACTGATGGGTTTATACCCCTATTCTTTCAGTTAGCAGCTAAGTGCTCAGAAGTATAGTAGCCATCAAATTTCCCTTGTAGTAACAATAACCTAGAAATTTTAGACATGTTCCGTTTTTTCCTATATGATTAAGTAAGATATCAAGTGCTCAGTACAGTGTTTGGCACAAGGTAAGCACTCATTAAATGTAGCATTAGTAAAACTATTAGTTTTCTGAATATAAGTATTTAAACTGTGCTCACTGAATGTAGTAATAATAGAAACTGTCATTTAAAAAAATAAGTAATCGCATTTAAAAATATCCTTTTTAAGAGAATCTGATATTGTCAGGTATAGCAAAGTATTTTTAACAGAAGTAATGATGATATTATATCTATCATTCAAAAAATTTACTGTGTATACCTGGCTTTCTGAAGTTACTGCACTTGTGCGTTGGATCACGTACAATCTTTATGCTACTTAATTCTTCGTACATCATGCCTTTAAAGAATGACTTGATTATTAATTCTTTAAAGAAAGAAGTGGTTAGTTTTTCTAGATATGATTAGCCAGAGAATAAGGTAATACTTCTATATAAGATAATAAAGCTTTTGTAGTGTTCTCACTTAAATTCTAAATATAACAACTGGTTAAAATATGTCAAAAAACATTTTATTTAAATTATGTTTTTGCTAGGTGGGAGACATTGTTTCTGTTATTGACATGCCCCCCAAAGTCCTAAGCACATGGTGGAGAGGCAAGCATGGATTTCAGGTGAGCAACAAAGAACTCGGGGTGGAAAGGTCCCAAGAATAGTTTTTGATGCCTCATTTATGTTTCTAAGACAAAGCAGAAGAAGTTGTCATCAGAAAATTTGATTGTCATTATCATCTGTTTTTCTGTGATGGCAATGAGCTTAAATTTATCTTTCTAATGAATATGCTGGATGCTATTCTCTATCTCTCTAAGCAGTGAAATAACTAAAGTGTGATAATAACTATTACATAAATAACTTTATATTTTAAATGTTGAAATGTTGTTTTATGCCATTGAGTCGATTCTGATTCATCATGACCTTATTTAAAAACAAAACCTCACTGCCATTGAGTCCATCTGCCAACTCCTAGTGGCCCTATCGTCGCTCTATGTGACGGGTACATCTGACCCACAGGGCTTCTGAGGCTGTGGTCTTTATGGGGACAGATTGCCAGGTCTTTTCTCCTGAGAAATTACTCTTGTGTTCAAACCACTGACATTTCCTGTAGCAGCTTCCCATTGCCCCAACAGGGTTCCTTATATCATCAATAGAAAGTAAATATTCAGATTTATAAAATGTATTTCATTGTCCTTAAAATTTGAAACAGTATATCAGAGTGATTAGGACCATGGATTTTGGTGCCTGATTGCATGGGCTTTAATCTTGTGATATTTTGGAAACATTATTAACTTCTCCCTGTTTCAAGGCCCCATTTGTAAAATAGAGATTATAGGACTTATAGGACAACAGGAGGTTGTCATAAAGGTTAAGTGTATGAGGATAAAGTAATGAAAAGTATTTAGAACAGTGCCTGTATTATAATTTTTCTCAGCAAAAGTGAATCATTTTGTTTTTATTTTACTAATTACTTTTTATTCACTTTTTTCCTATACAAAAGCATCTATAGAATTTTTTAAGGTTTTATTTTTAGTGAAAATATACTCAATATATCTCCCTCTCTCCCTCAAATCCATGGAAATACATAACAAAAAATCCACTACTAATCCACAGTTTCTAAACATACTTACCTGTGACATTGATGAAAATTTTTTTTCATTTTAATATTGTCATTTGTGTTCGATATTATCATTTGTTCTTCACTTCTTGGCCCTTGAACCTTCTCCTCTATGCTTTAAAATAACTTGGCTTTTTAGTCTTTATATATCTGTAATCCTTAAGAGTGACCAGCTTCACTCTTTCAGCTAAACTGTTACATAGTTCAAAGGTGATTTGGGGAGGTAGTTTCATTTAATGTTTCAAGAGTAATATAAGAGCATATTCTCAGGGACTCCTCCATACTCAGTAAGTCTGAATTCTTTAAGAATTTAGCATAATTAATTAACAAAACATTAGTGCTCTTTAAATATATATATTTCATAAGATTAGGAAATAATAAAATATCAGAAAGAGCCACATGAGAACTGTATTCATAAGGTGAATAACTAGTGATTTTTCTTTGAAATTTGAAAAATCACCCTATTTGATGAAATGATGAAACAGGAGAATTGTTGAGGTGGAGAAAAGCTCATTGCTAACACTTTTCCTGAGTATTTTTATGCTAGAGCTTTTACTGACTTCCTCAAAACACTCTCTTTCACCCTCCAGAAAGTCAACATACAGAATGCCTTCAGCAGTCCCCAAAACTGTTGCTAGTCCATTTTTGGTCTGCTTTGATTGTCTCATGTCCTACTCTTGGTAGCCCTTGTTTTGATTATATTGTGTCTTTAGGATCATAATGTTAAGGTCATGCTTCATCTCTTGTTACAGTTCACTGAAGAAATTCTTCAGGATTTTCATTTTGAGCATCATATTCTCCCTTTTTGAAACAAGCCCATTGTAAACTTGTGGTTTCTTTGGATCATTGTTCCTCTAAGCTTTTTATCAGCATTAGTGATTTCACTATTTTCTTCTACCCAAACTTTATCATACATTTGATTTTTGTTCTTCATTTGTAGAAGAAAATACATTTGCTCTAGTTGGAGTGTTTTTTAAACTGATGTCATCTTTTTCTTACTCCCTCAAACTAGATCCTGTTCAGACATGTTTTGTCAAGTTAGTATGTTTATTTCATGCAAACATTTTTTGAAATCTATTTTATATTATGCATTTCCCAGGAATATTTTGAAAGCATCCTTATAAGTGTACATATTTCTGTTTTTGCGACTTCTGCTAGATTCCTAGACCTAGGCGTGGAGTTGCTGGGCGCATGACAGCTCTACCTCTGATTTGTTGAGGAAGCACAGCACTGTTTTCCACAATGACTATACTATTTTATCCTCCCACTTGCAGTGGGTAAATTTCTTCACGTCCCCTTCAACTTTTCATTTTTGTTATTGCTATTATTGTGTTGTTGTTTTTTTCAAAAAAAATCTTAGCCATCCTGATGGGAGTAAATGATATCTAATTGTGATTTGGAGTTGCATTTCTCTGATGGTTAGTGACACTGAGCATCTTTTCTTGTGTATGTTGGTTGTTTGAATATTCTCTTTGGTGAAGTGTCTATCCTTGCTCTTTGCCCAGATTTTGATTCGGCTATTGGTGTTCATTATGTTGTTAAGTTTCTATGTATTTTAGATATTAGACTGCACATCATTACCATCCTTTTCTCTTATTAGTTGTCTCATCACTCTTTGGATAAAGTATTTTAGTCTATATAAGTATTTAGCTTTCATTAGTCCCTAGTTATCTATTTGGTCTGTTGAGAAGGAAAGATAATCATTATTTATTCCAGGTATATATGTAACACAGAGCCCGCATTCTCCCCCAATTTTAAATTTTCAAACAACTGAAATAATAGTTTAGTTTACTGATAGAACTGTAGGTAACAGAATCTTTTAAAGAACCTCTAAATGGAAAAAAAGATAAAATCCGAGCTGCAGTTTAATTTAAAAGTTAGGAGTGCTGGGCCTCAGGCCTCACGAGAAAGAGAGCATGCCTGATTGAATGCCACCACTCCAGCCTCCTGTTGCCCAAGGAGACGTCTGGAATGGTTGTGAAAATCCTTTAGGTTACTCATATGCCTCACTTTAGAATGTAGTAGATATATTAAGGGTCTTCAAAGAGTTCATGGAAAAAGTCCATTACCTTTGAATTCTATTTTTCCACAAATTCTTTGAAGCCCAAGCATTATACCTAAAGTTACTTTATAACTTAGAGATATATGACCCCTACCCTAAATTAAGTACCAGTTTTGAATTGATCTAGAGCAGTTAAACTGTGTGAAATATCAAGCTCCCTTATTTCCTCTGCAATTTGCTTTTAAGGGCTTCATTAGAGTATAAGCAAAGACAAACAGATTTAACAAAACAGGTTCAAAAAAGACTTTGGGCATGTGAAAGATGTTGGTAAAACTCAATAAAATAGATTTAAAGAACTTGATGAATATACTTGAAATTAAATCTAAGTTTTAGTTAATTATCATAAAGTAGTCCAAGGGAGCTATTTTCATTCTTAATATTACCAATAATTTTTTCACCACTGATTTTCAGACTTTAGTTACGAATCACTAGGGAAACATTAAAAATATCAAATTCCAGGCCCTAAGCCCCAAAACTTTGTTTTAATAGTTGTGGGATTGAATGTAAGATACTATTTTTATCTGGCCAGGACATTCATCAGAAACAGTGCTAACTATGTGGTGTTGGTAAGTCTGCTAACCAGTCAGTGCTTCATAAAGATTTGCATTTTATCAAGTTCTATCAAATACGTTGTACTAACACAGACCGTAATTTAGCTGTAAGAACAGAAGAATTAGTTCATCCACAGGTTTAAATTTTGCTGTAACTCTTTTCTTTAGCTTTTGTGTAGGAAGTGTGAAATTATATTAGCTAGAGTAATTTGAAATTCTGAAGTCTGAGGTTTTTGTTCTCCTAGAGAATATGTTGAATCTTTTACCTTTGTTTTCTGAAATGTTTCATCATTTAATGGCCTTCAGAAAAGCAACCCTTAAGGTTTTTTCCTCCTTTCTTTTAAAAAATTAAATGGCATTAATATCAGGTTTATGTACCTGTCTATGAACTAATGTTTGGAATGGTCTCTGAGAGCCTTTTTACCCTTTAGGTAAAAACAACAAAATACTAATAACTTTGAGACTTATTTGTTTGTGTAGAGCTGTGGTTCTTGTAGTCTTATCTTGGATCTACCAGTGTAAGAATGACTTGTGACACATGTTAAAATTAAAATTTACTAGTCAGGTACTTGGAAGATAGGAGCAAGAACTTATATATTTAAAAAATTCTATAAATGATTGTTTGAAGAAAATATGTTAACTAACGATCTAGCCCCGATTATTCATCCTGGCTACAGATTCTTTAAAAATCAAATATCTCACAGGCTGATATGTTGTTCCATGTGGGCTTTGTTGCTTCTGGGCTAGATGGTTGCTTGTTTACCTTCAAGCTTTTAAAACCCCAGATGCTATATCTTTTGATAGCCAGGCACCATCAGCTTTCTTCGCCACATTTGCTTATGCACCCATTTGTCTTCAGTGATCCGTTTGACACCTCGTGATCACACAGGCTGATATGTGGTTCCATGTGGGCTTTGTTGCTTCTGAGCTGGGTGGCCGCTTGTTTACCTTCAAGCCTTTAAGACCCCAGATGCTATATCTTTTGATAGCTGGGCACCATCAGCTTTCTTCACCACATTTGCTTATTCACCCGCTTTGTCTTCAGCGGTTGTGTTGGGAAGGTGAGCATCATAGAATGCCAATTTAATAGAAGAAGGTATTCTTGCGTTGAGGGAGTACTTGAGTGGAGGCCCAATGTCCTTCTGCTACCTTAATACTAAACCTATAATATAGGCTCATAGATCTATTTCCCCATCCTCATATAAATATATTTGCATATGTACATGTCTTTATCTAGACCTTTATAAATGGCCTTTTCCTCCCAGCTCTTTCCTCTATTTCCCTTGATTCTCCTCCTGTCCCACTATCATGCTCAGTCCCATTGCTATCTTGAAGAATGAGTAGGTTCATTGTCGTGATTGAAAGAAACGCGTTGGCATGCATGTCTTT